CACACGCACACACACCCCTCCTGACCTCAGTAAAGATGGAGAACTGTTTGCCATAGTCTTATCAGTAATAACATAATAATAGATGCTATTGCGACAATTCTGTAGTCTCCTCCTCGAGTTTATGGAAAGGGATGACTAAGTCAACGATACTTGCAGGGTTGAGAATTCACTGTTTCCCATGAGCCAGGCAGATGTGGGAAACAAAAGAGGTGCTGTGATTTGTGCCTTCAAGGACTTTCAAGTTCTGCTGGGGCAAAGGTAGGAAATGTAGGAATTCCAGGAGCCTTGCCATGTGGGCTCTGGTGGAGCAGGGGACGTTTCTAACAAATCCCTCAAGAGTTTGTTCAACCATTTCCTTTAGTTGAATCATGGCAGCTTTCCCAAGGTTCAATTACATTTATGACATGGGTGTTTATGCCCAAATTAAACAGCAACTATATTATGTATATAGTTTATTGTATGTCCACTTTAAAGCAAACTCCAGGAGGGCGGGGATTCTGGTCTCTGGTTCACTGATTATCCCCAGTGCCTACAACAAGGCCTGGCACAGCAAGGCAATGGAAAAGAATTCTTGAAGGAAGAACTGGAGTGGAGGGGGCTTGAGGGTAGATTTTTACTTTGCTAGGTTGTCAATAGTATGGTTCAATTTCTTTTCCACCTGAAAATATAATAATGGAGAACCACCAAAGTCTTTCTCCTGATTAAATCGTGTAAATGAGAAGGGCTCCAACCAGCCCCACAAGTAACCTCTTTCCAGCTAGAGGTATTACCTTTTATTACCCTTTTTTGTTTCCTGTTTGGGAAGCATTTGAGCTTCACATTAAGTATTTTACCCCCTACCATGATTTCTTACCTGGGGCAATTGACGTTAATGTGTGATCTTATCAAATGCTTTTTGAAATTTTAGGTAAATATAATCCTAGGCTTTCTTTTTTCTTTTGTCTCCTATAACCGTAATTCCTCTAAAAAAATAAAACCAAAACAAACCCAACAAGTTCTTTCAAGCTAGGCCTGCCCTCACAAATCCACACTGGCTACACCTTATCAAACTCTGTTGCTGCAGATCCTATGCAACCCCACAGCCCAAGTGGGTGCTGGTGTTTTCTAAGCCGATCTGATATAGTACACCCTCTTCTGAATCTAACAGTTTGGTAATGAAATGTGTTGGGCTTGGCACGTACTCCTTTCTAATTCTTAGCCTTTCCACCCTCTTTGTAATTGGCCGTGGAGTTCATTAGCTGGAACCTGGCCCCGGTGTGCTAAGCCAGAGGCAAGACTCTCTCTTGAATGCAGAGATGAACTTTGCTAGAATGACCACGTTTCACTTATTCCAAAGGCAAGAATTTGTAGCTGCTCTTTGGGCAGCAATCTGAGTGGGGGTCTGGGACCTGGGAGGAGACCGGACCTAGTAAATTGATATCATTTGGAGTTTATGAAGATTATTCCTATTTTTTTCTCCGGGTTTTCTCAGCTTCTACTTGCCTACCCCCAACTTCTACGTTCCTGGGGGCATACAGTGATAATTCGCATCCTGGTCAGAGTGAAGTGAAGACTTTGGGTAGCATAATTCACCGCTTGTCATGGACTGAATGTTTCTGTCCTTCCAACATTTGTATGTTGAAGCCTCAACTCCCAGTCTGATGGTGTTTGGAGGTGTGCCTTTGAGAAGTAATTAAGTTTAGATGAAGTCATGAGGATGGGACCCTCATGATGAGATTCGTGCCCTTATAAGCAGAAGAGACCAGAGTTCTCTTCCCCACCCCCATGTGAGGATAAAGCAAGAAGGCAGGAAGGCTCTCAGCAGGAACTGAATTGGCTGGCACCTTGACCTCGGACATCCCAGCCTCCAGAACTTGGAGAAATAAGTGTTTGTTGTTTAGTCACTTAGTCTATAGTTTTCTGTTATAACAGCCTGAGCAGATATGCCTCTCTAAGCCTCAGTTTCTTCACCTGCCAAGTGGGGCAATAATACCTTCTTGAAAGTATTGCTATAAGGAATAGATGACATAATGAATGTAAAGGGCTGGAAACTCAGGAGACAGAAAATAAAAGTAACTATTGTAGTAACCTCTTTGTACTTAATTTCACATTCTCCATGAATAACAATAATAGTAACAACAATAATAACTTACATTTATTTATAAAGCTCTGATTATGTGTAAGGCACTGTTCTAAGTGCTTTACATATATGAATTCATTTAGTACTAATTACTGTGTTCTACAGTGATCCTTCCCTCCCTCGTTCCCCAAGTCTTCTTGGGTTTGCCTTCTCCCCATTATTTTCTTCTAAAGCAGTTTTTTCTCTAAATTCCATGCAGATTTCTGCATGGAAAACAAACAACAAATAAAATAAGCTCCACATCCTTGGGTCATAACCCAGTGCCGTCTTTTTATCCAAGGCACGTGGTCACATCCCGGAGCTGTAAAACAGTTCTTAGCTATGGCTGCACTTTAGAATCACCTGAAGAGCCTTGCAAAGTGTCCTTGCAGACCATAAACCCAGACCAAGTAAGTCAGAACCTCTGCGAGTGGGAACAGGCATGGCCTTCAAATTTTAATGCACACGAGAATCACCCAAAGATCTTGTGAAACTGCTTTTCTTTTCTTTCTTTCTTTCTTTTTTTATTAATCCTCACCTGAGGATATTTTTCCCCCATTGATTTTAGATAGAGTGGAAGGGAAAAAGGGAGGGAGGGAGAGAGAGAAAGAGAGAGAAACATTGATGCGAGAGAGACACATCAATTGGTTGCCTCCTGCACGACCCCAACTGGGGCTGGGATTGAACCTGCAACCCAAGTACGTGCCCTTGACAGGAATTAAACCTGAGACCCTTCGGTTCATGGACTGACGCTCTAACTGATGAGCCAAACCGGCCAGGGCTGGTTCTGCTTTTCTAACAAGCTCCCAGAGAAGCTGATACTGCTAGTCTGTAGCGGGCAGGTTGAGGAGCAGGTCGGAGCCTCCTCACTCACTGCACCGTGGCTTTCTTCTAATGTACTCACAGACTCTCTCTTGACTTCCTACTTCCAATCTTCCTTTTCCACCAAGACTACACCCTAACTGGGCTCGATTCCCAGGTCCCACAGTAACAGCAGACATGACCAGTGGCAGAGAAAGATAGCGGCTCACCCATGCAGACAAAAGAAACGTCCTTGCTTAGGAACATCATCTGGAACCCAGGGTTTGGAGATCAGGGCTAAACTACCACCGATGCCCAGGAACATCTTTAAATGGGATCATTTCTTAGTTTATGTTCGTTTTTAAATCACAGGCCATTCTTGATGGGGCCCTTAAAAATGGCCCCTAAGGGAGTAGTGAGTTCTGATTTTGTGACTGTGTCACCCTCCTGTGGCAATCAATGTCAAGATTCTTCTTATTCTGACCTCTTAATTGAGTTCTACAATGACCACCCAGACCACCTTTTTTGGCTCTGTGCCCAATGCTGGCAGCCATGGTATTCATGGAATGTCTACCTTGGCATGTCTGTTGGTGGGACTTTTTAAGCTATTTAAGTCACATGGAAGGAAGAAGCAAAAGTAAACCCAGGAAAATGCTGGAAGGACATGATGTCCTCTCTGGGACAACTTCCTCATTTATAATAAATGAAGGCGCTAGAGTCCGTCGGTCTCTCAGGTACCTTCCACCTAACTTGTCTCTGTATTTTCAGTTGAGAACAGATCATCAATTATCTTTCATGGGCCTAGGCAACCAGAACTCTGAGGGTAATAATACTTTCCCAAGTGTACATCGCTTGGTTCTCTTCTCTCTTAAATCAGTCTTATCCTTAAAGACGACAATAAGGGCTTGTTAGATTGAAAAATGTTTCTCCTGCATCGCAGTTGACCATAATACAGGGAAACTCGGTGAATGGTGAATTCAGGTTTGAGAAAGAGATTCCGGTCCAAATTCAGCTGAAGAGATGTCCAAGGAGGAACAAAATTAAGTTTTTAATAAGTATAATTATTTTTCTCTTCATTTAAAACTAAGAGATCTCCAGTAGGCAGAAGTTGCAGTAAAATAAAACTAAAAAAAAAAAAAAAAAAAAAATGCATACTACATATCAATCATGCTACCTATGGGCCTCTCAGTTTGGGACAGTTTTGACATGCAAATAATGTCGTGTTTCTTCTGCTCTTCTGTTTACCAGAAGAGCAACAGCTGTGAGGAACATTTGCTGTGAGCTGAGTCCAGACTGTCTTGAGGAGCTAAGATTTAAGTCCACTCTTTCAGCATTTCCAGAGTGCCCGGTTTGATTTCAGCTATGTGCATGTTTAATCTTGTTTAACACCAACTCCTGGAATCAACCTGGAAAAGACGGGAAAGGCTGGAAACGAAACTCGTATTTATTTTGGAAGCAAAGGGCCACCACATTCCAATGTTCATGGCAGGGAGGCAGATCTATACAGTGTTGCAAAACTGCGGTTGCAGCGCGGAGAAGGAAGCAGGATTGCATCCTGTCTTGCAAAGACACGAGCTTTGTGATCACGGCTACAGGCTTCGTGGTGAAGATACACAATAGGGACTTAACAGGAAATAAGGACTTGATTTTGAAGACTTGGTTTTGAAGCCTTGATGATAAGTGCAGCCACTTTTTCAAACAAACCCTTTAAATGATCTTACAATAAGTACAACATTTTTTCCAAACTCCCTAATTTTTAGCAGCCTTTCCAACATCTCAGAAGGTGCCTCTTTGTCCTGCATCCTTCCACAGTAAGGTGATTGAAATGGACAATATTGATTTTGTCACTCAGGTACTGTGATTTGCCTTGGTAAAGAGGAAATGGTATTTTTGCCTTGGTAAGATTGCCTTGAATATATTATTCATTCTTTGTAAAAGCAGATACAGGTGACTATAACCAGGAAAGATTCTGGCATGGCAGTTTTCAAGTATAAGTTATATTTTAGGATTGCTCCAATTTCAGGGGTCAAATCCAGAGTCAATGATAGGAAATCATATGCCCAGAAAACTTTTTTTAAAAAGGTTTATTCTGCTTATATAAAGAGGGAAAAAGAATACTAGTGCCTTTTGGGTTTAGTTTTCCTTTCATCAATATGAAGGTAACAAACTATTCCAGCATGTTGTGTTGGTAAAATGTCTTGCTTTCCTTTAGTTAAAAGAAAACAACACATAAATATGTTTAAACTTACAAAACTTAGGGTTCTGGTTGAAAGTTTGGAAGTGTTATTAAGAGATCTTAATTCAGTCCTCACGTCTAGTTTGAATGACATTATGTCAGAACAAAAAGAAAACTGCCCATCTGAAAAATATATGAATTATCTGGAAAAAGAAATGACACCGTCCTGCCCAGTCCTGATGGTGAGAAGATGCTGTACGTCTCGACTATGTCCATCTTCCTGCGGCCCCTGTGCATTCTCCAGGCTGGGTCCCCTGGAGGAAGTGAGCGATGAGCCTGTTCACTCCTTCAGACAATGCACACTGAACACTCTCTTCTCCCTCCACTCTGTAATTAGTCCCTCTTCACAAAAGCCCTTCTCTTTTCTATACAATTACATCCCATTTCCATATTCCTTCCAGGTATGGCTCATTTCCAAAATCTTCCCTCACTTTTGCTGTCTCCTTCCCTGGCTCATCCTAGTTGGCTCTGTCCCACTGTCTCTGTGGGGCCCAGATACGGAGCACGGGAAGCAAATGAGGGTTTGACGGACTGGGGATAGACGTGAGGAGTCCCTTGCGACTCCTTCAACACTCTAAGGAGGCTGCTGGTGCAGGGGGAAGACTCAAGTGATCTTGAGAGACTGTTTCATCGCTGCTGCTGCTGCTGCTTCTTGAGAAAAAAGAAAATATGAAAATCATGCCATTCTTTGAAATGCTGATCTTGCATGAACAAGCACGTGCATGAACCAACAGCATGAAAGGAGTCGAAACATTTGACCCAACCAAAAAAAACCACCCACATGGGTAAGCCAGCAGCCCTCCCCTTGCTACCTTCACCCCTTCACCGAGCCAGGCTTCTGGATGAGCTTCTGCCACCACACCCTGCTCTGTGTGAATGCTGTGTCTATTTCCATGTGCAATCAACAATGGTCCCATTCTCTTTTTCTTCTCTATGCCAAAGACAACAAATGCAAATGGTGAGATGAAACTGGGATTAGAGGAGTCCAAATAAGGACTGGCATAGCATTAAGGCTAAGGGCCTAAATGATAATCCCCAAACAATGAGAGAGGCAAGTACCTTACAACAGCTGTGCGGGCCATAAATAAAGCTTTTCTAGGACTCATAGGACTCATGTAAAGTCTAGACAGTAAATGTCACATGAACTTTTTTTGCATAACCCATGGGAGACAAGTTCTCCTCTAAAGACTCTGCCCTTTTGCTGCTTATACCTAAGGCACAGGGAACCAGACTTGAAGGTTTTGAATGTCCTTAGAATATTGGGGTAACTGCAGAGGAGGGCGAGGTAGTAGAGAGCCTGGCAGGTAGGCAAAGGGCCAAGAGAGAAACTTCCCAGAAAATGCTGGATCTCTTCTCTACCCTGCCGGAAATACCATCTCTTTTCCTTGAACTTATCCATGATCTGAGCTGTTCTCCCCAAGAGAGGTTTAAAAAGCTTATGGCCAGGGCATTGCTTTAAAGCTGAGACACCCATGGCTTCTCTGTATAATATACAAATTAAAACAGGAATGAATATGTAGGAAAAGCGAAGTTGGCTCTTTGGCCAGAATATGCTCCCACAGTCATAAAGACGCAGACAGGGAAATCTATCACTTTCATTTAAAAATGAAAATCCCTTTAGAAAACTGGCAGACATTCAGCCCTGGCCAAATGGATGAGAAAGGATTGTGATTTCTTTTGCTGTCAACTGGCTCTGGGAGAAATGCTAGGAGGCCCATTCATAGTAGGACGTGCAGTGGAGCACCACGGACCATCACCCTCGGCTGGAAGAAGGGAAGACAGGAGGGGCTTCGGACCACGGCGTCTGTGCACAGCCTGCCCAGTAAGTCCAGGCTGTGTGTGCTCCTTGAAATGTCTTGGTAATCATTTCAAGACAAATGCCATTATTCACTGGATTGTAAAGATAGTGTAGGTTTCTATTGCTGCTATAGCAAATTACCACCAATGTAAATGACCTAAAGCAATACAAGTTTAGTGCCTTATCGTTCTGGTGAAGTCTGACACTGGTTTCACTGAGTTAAAAATCAAGGTTCCTGAAAGGCTGCTTTCCTTTGTGGAGGTTGTAGGGAAGAATCCTTTTCTTGTCTTTTTCACTTCTAGGGGCCACACACATTCCTTGGCTCATGGCCTCTGCCCCCATCTTCAAAGCCAGCAGAGGATGGGTTGAGTTTTGTTTTTGTTTTTTTTTCCCCTCACCTGAGGACATTTTTCCATTTTTTTGTTCAGATAGAGTGGGAGGGAGAGAGAGAGAGAAACATCGATGTGAAAGGGACACATCAAGTGGCTGCCACCCGCGCGACCCAAACAGGGCCGGGAACAAACCGCAACTGAGGTACGTGCCCTTAGCGGGAACCGAACCCGGGTCTCTCGGGACTGCAGGCCGACACTCTAACCGCTGAGCCAAACCGGCCAGGGCCTGGGTTGAGTTTTTATCACATCATATCACTCTGACATTTCTGCCTTCCTCTTCCTTTGTGATTACATTGGGCTCATATGGATAATCCAGGACAGTCTTTCAATTGTAAGGTTAACTAATTAGCAACCTTAATTCCATCTGCAATCTTCATTTTCCTTCACCACGTAACCTAACATGTTCGCAGGATACGGGGGTTAGGATGTGGACATCTTCGGGGAGCCATTATTCTGCTTCCACAGATAGAAAAACCAAGGAGTGAAGCAGTTAAGAAACATGCACAGGGTCCGACAGCATGTTGGTAGCAGAGCTGAAACTGGCTTTGAGCCAGCGCCAGACCTAGAAACAGGAAGAGAGGCAAGAGGAAAGGAAAAGACAGAGAGTCGAGGGGAGATTTTTGTGCTATGGAGAAAATGGACTTTTGCAGTAAATGCACTTTGGTTACAAATCAAATGAACAAGAGGGTTGTGTGAGTGACAGGTTGCCTTTGTTAACCATCTCCTTTGTTCTCCCTTGGACCTGTAAATCATTTCCATAAATCAGAGTTCACCAAATTACCTCGGCTTCACTCATAATACTGGTCATTTTGGTGTCATAAAACATACCAGCGTATTGAGTCCCACCCCACAACAGACCACAAACTATAGGGACCCCGTATGAAGGTGGGAGACCTAAAGGCAAAATAATACAGCTGCTATGGAAAAACAGTACAGCAATTCCTCAGAAACATTAAAGATAGAATTACCATATGATTCAGCAATTTTGATTCTGAGAATATATCCCAACAGATTGAAAGCAGGGTCTGGGAGAGATATTTGCTCACTCACGTTCATAGCAGCTTCATTCACAATGGCCCAGAGGTGGAAGCAGCCCAGTGTGGTTTATACATGCTGTAGAATATCATTCGGCCCTAAACAGAACGGAAATTCTGCCACACGTGACGGCCTGGATGAGCCCTGGAGACATTACGCTAAGTGAAACAAGGCAGACACAAAAAGCAAATGCTGTGTGATTGCGCTTGTATGAGCTATCTGCAGTAGGCAGACCCGTAGAAACGGAAAGCAGAGTGGTGTCACCAGGGCCGGGGGAGGAGGAAACGGGGAGTTGTTGTTTAGTGGGTATAGAGTTTCAGTTTTTCAAGATAAAAAAATTCTGGAGATCCGTTACCCAACAATGTGAATGTACTTAACATTACTGAACCATACACGTGAAAACGGTTAAGATAGTAAATCTTGCTGGGTGTCGGCCATAGAGCATCCAGTCTAAGAAAAAGTCTTATAAGAGTTTATTTGAACCAAACTGATGGCAACTGTCAAGAAGGAAAACCTCAATGGATTGAGAAAATGCTCTGGAGAATGGCAGTTTTGCAGCTTGTTTTATATATTAGAATCAAAGGAGATGTCAGGAGGGTTAATGAAATCCATTGGTGGTAGAGTGGTGGAGCAGGGGAAAGCAACGACAGACCACAGCTCTGAGACTGGATAAGAAGTAAAACAGAGACGTGTTTCCTTGACATCAGTGGTGTAAGATAGATAACATTTACAGCACACGGGGACGGTGTGTGGGCAGCAGGTAGCCACGTGGCCTCATGCTCCGGTGCCGCCGGCCGTGCCTTGGAGGGTCTGGAAAAGAAGCTTACTCTGACATTTCAAAGACGAGCTGCCTTAGATGCACAGGGACAACAGAAAATTTCCAACTTAAAAATTACCTTTGTCAAGGAAGCCACAGACCTAGGACTTGACGACCCACCACGACCTGCTTTTAGTTTGGAATTTTTACGTTCAGACCACCCTGTGTGGTTATTTTGGTTTCGGGTTTGTCAGGCCCACCAGGCAGGCCTCCCCTGAGCTTATCAGGTTTAGTATGTGACCCCTTTTCTATCCACACATTTTATTTTTACCACAATTTAAAAATTTTTAATTATTTAAGAATAAAATTTAATTTAAAAAAGATTGGAGACCTAACAATGATTTTTTTAAAAAAGGAAACCACAACAACCAAAAAAACCCTAGTCTTAATACCTTTCTGAGTTCAACTTCCCTTCCACTCCCTGGCGGAGAAGCCGGATAGGAACATCGGTGCACAGGGAGGGTTCCTTGGAGAGCCCGCTGGAAAGGCAGAGATCTCTTCAGTCAGCTTCTTCTGGGACTCAGCCAGCATATAAGAATTACAATAGTTTAGGTTTGAATGCTCTGTTATGCTTCTCTCAAAAGAAATGAATGAATAAATAACTAAATAAATAAAAGGTGATTCAAAACTCTCTGGCCTGTTTCCAAGAGCAAGCTTGAGAAGCTGCAGTAGGGAGCCCACCCTGAGTGGTGCCCACACCCACACACTGCCCCGCTCCTGCGGGTGCTGCCCAGGGAGCCTGCGCAACTTGGCGTGTGAATGGAGACAGTGATGGATGAATGGAGCAGCCTTTCTAGTGTGCTTTCAGGACAGCTCCGGCTTCATCGTCTGTAGGGCACATGCCTTGTTTCTCTCTGGCTGCATTGGACCCTGCCATATATATATATGACTTGGTCGGTCTCACAGGTCTGGGGGTTCCTTAAGAGCAAAGGGTTTTGTGAACACTAGCATAATGCCTAAATCTGTTGAGGTACAGTGAATCAGTGTCATATAATGATGGCATCAGGGATTGTTTTTGTGTTCTCAGGCCATGAGGATGTTCTTTCTGGACAACTACTTGTGAATGATTCAGATCCTATGCTGACCCTGGTGGTGTGTGCACGCTCAGAACGTCTCTGAACTCCACCTTCAACTTCCGTGACTTGCCTCACCACTCACTCATCCCCATCCCTAAATATGCATGTGTGGTTTCTGTCTGGCTGGGCTTGGTTCTGCTTATCCTTACTAGACACATGTGGGTGTCCCTACACCTTCATTATCTCCTGGACTTCGTTAGGACAGATTATCCAACATATTCTTTGCGTCTCCCCAAAGCATCACACACCAAGATACCAGTTTCAAAGCTGTTTCTAGAAATCTGGCATGTCAAACTGCTTGATTGACATCAACACCTTCATGTTCTGCCAGGACCTCAGAAGATAAAATCACTATCTTTTCCCCATCAGCCTGCTCCTTTTTCTCAATTCTTTGAGGGGTGGTTGTTTATATACTTTTCCTAATGACACCACATACTCTCCCACCTCTGAGGCTTCAACTTTACTGTGATCTTTTCCTGGATTTCTCCATGTCTGCCCCATCTTGCCACTGCCTCCCTCCCCATCAAACACTTAGGCACTATTGATTATATTTACATTTCCCAATAACCCCTCCCTCTCGCCCTCATTGTCATCACCCTGTAGCAGTTGGCACCAGGGACTTTACCCTCCAGTTTCCTTCGGTTGGAGTGGCTGTCTAGAGCTTAGCTTTGAAAATGTTGTGATGCCTTGTCTGGGATCAACAGAAAAGAATATTTTAATCAATTGAAGATGTCTCTCATGAGTGTAGTTGAGAGGAATTGTGGTCATCGCTGCAAGATAAGGGGAATAGTCTTTTTCCCCTGACTCCTCATCCTATGCATCCTACACACTGACCTGAAGTCGACCCTTTTAATTAGCACTATGACATCTCGCCTCCTAAAACAATGAGCGATACCCCTTTGCCTATACCAGCATCTGTCAAGCTTCGCTTTCTCCAGCCACTCACAGCAGGAGTCTCAAATGCCTGCCACCTCCAGGCTCAGTCATGCCTAGGAACTGAGCTGGTTTAGATTAAGACAGGAAGTCTATCAGCTATCTCAACCCGTCCATATGTGGGGCCTGAAGTTAATCCTGGCTGCCCACAAACCTGGTATCTGCTGTGCCTAGCATAGCCCTTGATGCCAACTTAGCCTCCGGGTCACACCACTTTTATCAGCTTTCCACTTCTTCTTTCCCCACACCCTCAGACATACTGGTCCATGGGTGGGTCTGAGCTTCTGCCACAAGCTACCTGGCTGTTCTTACATTTATTAAGCTCTGAATATAAACTGCTTATTTGGGTTCCTAGGAACTGAAGACTCACCAGGTTCCTTACTCCTGGCCCAGGCTAAGTTCTGGCCATATATAAGCAGATTGCCCAGAATGGCATTGGAGATTATGAGAGTCTTCAAGGTCATGCCCATCAAACCCATCCCCTTCTTCCTATTATCACAGCCTGGCACCTGCATGATACTGCCACACAAGCTGGACGTTGCATAGGACTACTCAGCTCAGCCTGGGGAAGCCACCGAGTCCCCTACTCCCCTGGCTCAGAGGCCTTCCTTTTCCCTACAATCTGAGCTTGAGCACAGTAATTATAAAGGGATCATTTTTTTGGAGCACATGCTATGTGCCAGGCGCTTGAGTTCATGCATTGTATGCATACCCTCACTCCACCTTCACAAGGACCCTATGAAGTAGGTGCTACTATTATGCCCATCAAGAATTGCAAGCGATCAAGAAATGGAGAAGTTAAACAGTTCACCTAAAGTCACCCACATAATAAGAAGAGCTATAATTTGAATTACAACTGACTGAATCTAGAGCTTATACTTTTAATCACTATGTCAGAGATTGCAAACTGAGGGCTAGTGGTAAAATGTTGACCATAGTTATATGTGGCCACCAGAGTTTTTATTTATTTATTTTTAATAATGGCCAATGCTTGGAAAATCAGGGGATGTCACGTAAAAATTCAGACTTACGACTTCTCTTTAAAAAGCAGGAAGGTCTGTCAACATAGGTCCCATATCCTACAGGGCAACAATCAAGCAGAGCTGAGGAATGTCTGTCCTTTCCATGGGGTGTGAGCACACCAGTTCGCCCCTGTCTTCACTTTCCTTATTTCACTTCTCAGACATGACTGTCCATCAGAACTATCTGGAGATTGCTGGGCCCCACCCCCAAGTTTCTGATTCAGTGGGTTGGGATAGCGCCTGAGAATTTGCTTTATTACAACTCAAGTGTTAGTTGCTATTTCTCATCACATTTGTGCTGTTGCTTTTTTTACATTCAGCCCACCCACCCACTTCTTTTACCTCCATGTAGGCATTTGAGTTTGCAACCCAGGCCCTCCAAGGAATTCAGGGCCCTCCCATCTGTTCCTGAATTCCCACTAATCTCTGATATGAATCTTAAAGTTAATCTGGACTTCTTATTGTTCTGACTTCTTTCAGCTCTTTCAAAAACATAATGCAATGTCTTTGTTCAGTTTCACAGAGGCAGTAGAACATAACACAAAGCACCAAAGCAGGCATGTTGCAATCGCTTCTTTCCCCCAACTGGAAGGGACCAGCAAAAAGACACATCTATGCATATGAAAGATGAGAGTGTGAAGAAGTTGAACAGTTCTGACGGCTGAGAATTAAAAGCCATAGAATTCACACAGAAACAACCACTTGAGTTATTCTGTTCTTCCAGGAACACCTCTTTTGTAGCCTCCACAAATGCTCTTCTGCGGTTATAGAAAGTCAATCTAACTATTCCAGGAGAAGCCATTCAGACAGTTATCCAGGAAGTACAGTGCATCAATTCAAAAAATTCATTAGGGCCCTGGCTGGTTTGGCTCAGCGGTTAGAGCGGCGGCTTGCGGTCTGGAGAGACCCGGGTTCGGTTCCCGCTAAGGGCACGTACCTCAGTTGCGGTTTGTCCCTGGCCCTGGTTGGTTGTGTGGGTGGCGGCCACTCTATGTGTCCCTTTCACGTTGATGTTTCTCTCTCTTCCTCTCTCTCCCTCCCAGTCTACCTGAACAAAAAATGGAAAAATGTCCTTGGGTGAGGATAAAAAAAAATTTTATTAGGTTTCACTTGGCCTGAAATACCCTCTTATAATCTTCTGTACCTAACCCAGATGCTACCAATTCAAAGTGCCCTTCCTGTTTAGACAAGGCAGAAATAACCCCTTCCTCTCTCTGAACTAACATTATGGCCATTTCCATGACACTTATCTCATACTTTCCTGAAATATAAAATAGTTATATTGTCCCACATCTTCCCTAAGATATTATAAAGTCTTTT